TTCTTGCCAAAATTGAAAAAGGCCTAAAATAACAATTTAAATTCTGGAAACAAATATATATTATATTTGGCTAATAAATGCCCTCTTTGTAATGATTGTAGAAACATAAAGAAATTTGAGGTTAGATTTTCAGGAGTCTTGGTTAATTGTATTAAGATTTTTGAACTTAGCAAAGAATAAGATGAGGCCTGCTGATATGAAAGGGATTAAAATTTTTTAAAGAGCTTTTTTTTAACTGTACATTAAAAGAAAGGTGGATGAACTTTTTTTGTATTGGCATATTGATATTAGTGTAAAAACCATCATAATAGTTATATTGAAGATCAAAGAGGCAGAAATTTAATGATGAAAATTCTTCTATATCATCATAATTACATCTAGATGCTCTTCAAATTTATCAGAAAGTTAATTCCTGCCATGATATTTTCTATTAATTGTAAAGAAAAGATTTAAATTACTAAAAAAAGATGAATGCTATCTTCAGATAATTAACAAAAGGTTTCTTTAAACAATAATTATTTTTGTAATTACAAACTATTTCTTATTTGTAAGTATATTGTATCTATTTAATTTAAATTTATATAAAGTCTTTTTTTGAAAATAATAAAATATATATGTGATTTTATAAAGAATTACAAATTTAAGATGCTTTTCAATTATCATATGCTACTATAATCTATTTATTTATATGAAATATCTTTGATTAATTTATAAATTAGACTAATTGATCTAAAGACTGAATGATGGTCTAGAAAATCTGATGATAATTATATCAAATGAGAATTAATTGAGAAGGAATACTTTGCTTTATGGAAACTCAAATGGGAAAATATATTACAAAAATTATAATAACAGTAAGTACAACTTGTATTAAACTTTTGCATAAATCGATATTAGACAAAGTCTAATTGGCTTCTTCCTAAAATTAATCTCCTTTGATTTATCATTCTTCTATTATATATTTTATATATTTCAACCTGATTACTTGCTAGTTATATTTAATCAATTTTAGAATGTATTTTTATATATTATCTATGATATTAAAGACATTCTGAGCATATTTTAATTTTTTAAATATGAAAAAAAACAATATTTATATAAGTAAATAATATAAAGAATACAGTCAAAATATAATTTCCTTATATTGCCAGTATTATTACTCAAATAAAGATAAAATAGATAGACATTTAGATTTTTATTAGCTTATTTTTTTCATACATATTAATTCTGCTTGATGCTTACCCATATTCCTAGATTTTTAAAACTTACCAAAATTTCAATAATCATTTGTATTAAGAATATATTATAAAGGATTACTATGAATGATATTCTTTTCATTTTTATCACCCCATTTCATTCTATATCATCTTAAGCTTTTTTATGACTTATAACCAATCATCTTCTCATTCTATTTTTATTAGAAAGAATTCTTTAAATAAACATTATTAACTCAGCAACAATTCTTTGTGTTATTAAAGTGAAAATTCTTCTTTCTTATGGAATTAAATATATATCCAAATTATTTATGTTTAATGAAAATTTTACCAGATTCAAAAATAAGAGGACTCCATAAATAAACGAGTTTGATAGGTAAACCTCTTACAATAGATCATAATAAATCTTTAGCAATATTATTATGATTTGTATGCTTAAGTCCAATTCCTCTAAAATCATTTTCTGGATATTTAAAAACTAACAAGAATTCAAATGTCTAGGTCAAATCAAAAATTATGAATAGATTAAAAATAAATTTAGATAGGAATAGTGTATAAGTATTTTGCTATGCAAGAAATAGTTTAGTAGATCACTGAAATTGGAAAGGTATTGTATTACCTTCCAAATGAATATTTTCCAACCTAAGTCATGAAAGTTGTATGACCCTAAAGGAATTAGAACTTCAAGAAACATACAACTATTTAGATGGAATTAACACCCTAATTCTGGTCATAGTATCTAAACATTTTTCAATTTATTTTATGAAGCATGAATTTAAATTATCCTAATTCAACTTAGAGTTTAGTTAATCAAAAATTATTGGTAAATTGAATTTAGATATATAAATGATTAAT